CTTTTTAGAGCTTTTTAGATTTGGAGTTTGTGAAGAAATTGTGTAGATATTCTTCCTCACTACAGCACTATGTTTTCATGCAGAAATTGCAAGGGAATTGGCCCCAAAGTCTGAAAGCAAGCTGAAGGGAATCTCCACCACCCGGCTCAACCAACAGCACCACCTCTGGTACGCAGTGAAAATAGGCAGGCATTTTTTTCCTCTCCAACTCTGTCTGTCTTTATCTCTGCCTGAGGCTTTTCATTTTTCTGCCTACCTATCCTACCCAAAACGTAATGCATAAAATGTGTGAGAATAGAAATAAAGAATACTCTCATTTGCACAGTTAAAAAAGACAGTTTTGTTAGTGATCCCAAGGTACACATATTATCCCATAAGTAATGTCTTAACATATTTTAAATCTGTCTGTTCTATAGGCATCTAGTCTGTGAGGACGCCCTGCCATGTGAAGAAGACAACAGCCATCCTCCTTTCCGTTACCTTTTAGCATTCCTTCAACAAGGTGAGTGTCTATGTTCTCCAGGATGAAGATAAGCAAGAAATTATACGGTGACTACAGCATGTGATGACTTGCCTGTGATGGGAAAGAGCTACAAATGGTTAGAGTAGCAGAACATGTAGTGGTAGACTGATTTATATCTAATACATTACAGAATTAGACATTATTAGACTAAATAAAGCTTAAGATGGGTGTGATGTTCACCTCCAGGGTATTTATGGTCTGGTTTATAGACCATCAGTTTAAGCTCAAATGTGACTCACACATGAAAGTTACAGTTCTTTAATGATTCATACACACTTTCATCAGATAACTGTGGGAAATAGTGCTGCCCAGGTTAACACTAGGACACAAAGGTGTATGTATCAGCACTTGCTTTTGTTAGTATCCTGCTGTTATCCTTGGAACCAAACTTTGATGTCTTGACGGAAGAAGGGAGAGTCACAGAAAACAGATTTATCTGATTCTTCTTGAGAGAGTCATCCAACTGTGAGCGGCTGCTTCAGCTTTCAAGAGTCCCAGTACCCTGCTGGCAGGCTGACTCTCCCCCAGAACCCCCCACATCGAAAGGGCTCACAGCAGGCTAGACTTGTGGTGTGATAAGCATTCAGCTGGTGAGACCAAACCCAGCCAATCTTACAATGATCTTAAAAAAACAGGAACATCCTGAAACATCACTCATGCCCTTTTCTCCCACACACAAACTTTCATATAGTCGTTTGTGCTTTCAGTTGTGTGCGCCTGCCAAAATGCACATTAACATACACAGAAGATTTTGATGAATAAACACGAAGTACATCTGATATCACAAACAGACATTTTGTTCTCTTTCCTGCAAGATGTTCTTAGTTTATCTCTGTGGGTGGTCAGTGAGCAGAACTGTGCTATCATTTGTGCCTGTACTGTTGTTAGTGAAATGCATCTGATGTGTTTGTATTTTACATGAAAGAATGGTGTCTTGCTGTGTCTTGGCAATTGCAGCAACAATATATGCATGTTGTTAAAAGCAAGTATATAAAATTCACTGTTCAAAACTCTTTCCTTGCAGTACCCTTACAGTAAGATTATAATAATTATTTATAATTTAAGATGTCAGATTATAAATATTTGAGTTGTCCGATTTTTTTTTTTTCAATTAATTTGCCTTAGCTTGAATACATTAAATCCGTGAAAAAAGAGAAGGATGTCTGACTATTACAGTGCCCATTCACTGCCATATGTTAGTTCTGACAGCTTGTAGCTACAACCAATGAACAACATTATTAATGCAACAGATCATTAAAAAGAACCATCTAAAGATTTGTCACTAGAACAAACTTCATAGGTTCTTGTGGGAACTCGAATGTACTTAAGTAACATGGAAAAAAAAAAAACTTTAATGGTTCTTGCACATCAAGCAAGCACTTTGAGCCTCCATTTACCATATTTAATATGCTCTATGTATATGCGTTGATCTGTGTTTATATGTGAATAAAAGCCTAAATTACATCTGATTATCATATTCGCTCTGATAAATGCCTATTGAGCTGAGCTGAAGCTCAACTGGCATAATAACAAAACTGTATTCATCTCTGAGTTACTTTTTACGCGAAAAGTGTTACACCTCAACTGCTGAAGGGCCAAATCTTCCATACTCAAGCTTTTTGTAAGGACAAAATTATTTTACAAGGTTTTACTTTCTTTTTTCTTACAGTAGATGGCTCTTTGGCCTCTGTGAGTGTACTAGCCACCAAAGAAATGCTTTTTCTCCTTGATGAAGACCACCAATGGAGCAAGAGCCAACCTGAAGGCCAAATGAGCAGTGGGAAGGTGAACGTTCAGGAAACTCAGCCAATCAGTTGTGTCAGTTCCATTCATCTGTTTTCATCAGATCCATGCCAGGTGGACCTAAAACTTTATGATGAGGTATGTGGGTACACCTTCACATGTTCTCAACTAAACCATAGAGAAACCAAGAGCAATTGTCTGGATGTAACATATGGCTACTATATGGGTAGAATAAATGGAGGTTTTTGTTGTTTGTTTTTGACAGATGGCCAAGAAAGAAAAGACATGGTCTTTACATGCTGAAGATGAAGAGCTGGTACAAGACCTGGTGAACTGGATCACAAATCAGTGGGAAACCATGTTTGGGGTCAAGCTGACTACTATCAAGCAGTAACCACTAGCCACAGTGTTAAAGAAAAGCACCTACCTTAAATCATGAAGATTCCTGCCTTAAACTGTTTTAATCTGTATTACTGTCTTGGTGTAAATGTGGAAGTTTGTCTTTTTGTCTCCATATAAGCCCCAAATTCCATTATTATCTTCTCTTGGTTGTGCTCATGTCTCCTCTATATACTAATTGTGCTGTAACATGCATAGAGTGCCTTTTTGGCTTTGTCACCAACCAACACCAACACACCTTATAATACATACAGTAACTATGCATGCACAAACAGTTTATTTGTAAATAGGTTTCTGTGAATGATATGAATGTGGTAGTGAATATGTGTTTGTATCTCAGGGTGAAAAGCCGTTCAATGTGTTCTCAGAAAGGTTCATAATTGGGTTATGCAGATCACAGGAGAATAACAGGTTTACTTGAGTGTTGGTGGTGTTAATGCAATGTTAGTTAAGACACGTTACTGAACTAAATTACCCTCTCACTCTTTGAAACTTTATGTTGAAGATATTTATGAACTGTATAGGTACACGTGATTCTCCATAATGAACTTGGACTTGAAGTGTTTTGTGTTTATTTGTTTTATAAGAAAACAAGCATAAATCTAGCTCATAAATGTGAAGTGTAACTATAGTTGTTTTTTCCCCTAATATTCTATTCCAGCACTTGTATAGAGAGCATAAAAAGGGAGCTAGTGATTACACATCAAAACGTAATGGTCACAGGCAAAAGAAACTTCATATAGCTGTGAAGAGAAAATTTAGTACAACCACGTGCAGTTTTGTGCCGTTTGTGTGACTCCGATGTTCTTTTATTTCTTGAAATAATTGAAATGGCTTGAAAAATAGTGAAATGGCTTTTTATAAGTACATGCTGTTAACAAAGTTGAAAGCATATTGTCATTCAATGTAAAATTTATTTAATGTGTATTTATTCATCTTTGTACTGGTCTCCAGTAGGGAAATCATAATAACTTTTATTTTTGTAAACAATAAACTCTTTAAATATTACACAGCTTTTCATTATGTTCAATACATGACAGAGGGAGAGATATATCTGAGAATGATTGTTGCATATAAGCGAATTGGTCACTATTATTATTATTATTTTTGTTTGTTTTATTTTTTTTGTAAGTTTAGAATTATTTTACCAAGAAAACAAGCCCGTTATTTTCTGCTGGCTGTTCATTTCTCTTCAGCTCTTTTCACTTCTCCAAACGTTACTAAAACGTTTTTCTAAAGTGATGTATTAAAATTCCTAGGCTGAGTATTGTGTGCTATTACACACAATTTATGCTATGACACATATACTAGTAATACTTTTTTCAATTAATTTTTACATTTGTTAAAAAAAAGTCATCCTTCCACTCCTTTCATTACCTGTTTTCAGTCTGTTATGATGAAACTTTCCTTCTTTACAGCTGTGCCAATACTATTATTGTTGATGCGTTTATGTGGATCTACGTTTTGTTCCCTCTCTCACATTCTCACTTTCTCTTTCTGTATGGTCTAGCAGTGTTGCAGCAATTAGTTTTGTGATCTTTTCCTATGCTTGGCGACTGTGAAGTATGAAATCAGTTTACATAGCGTGTTGCCATGTTTTATGACAAATAAAGACTCCGTATTAGACAAATCCACATTATTAACTTAACAGTTATATTGAATACAATCAAATTAGTCATCTGCGTTTTTTTCTTCAACATTATTATGGGCTGTGTCAGATATATGCTAAATAAATAAATGTATATTAAAACACACACACATGCACACATACAACTGGACAGCTGCTGCAACATCCCGTAAACCTTGCAGAGACGTCAAACCTATAGTTCACATCTGAATGTTAAGCAATATTTTGTGTTTGTGAGGGAAAAGGAATGCCTCATCTGAAATATTTAATTGAAATGAAAGATAAAAAATAATGTTCATCAATACAACATTTTATAGGTTATAGACAGAAAAAAAAACTCTTTAAGACAAACAGTACTGAGACAGACATCTGCAGATATGCCACCTATTCGAATTTATATTTAGTTGATATATTTTATTATATTTAATAAATTAACTTTGATTTTATAGGGGAATATTTACTTATTTACATTATTTTTATAGCGAGAGTTCGACTTCTGAGACGTGTTTTTTTTCATATATACAGTATATTATCATCATATTCTTAAATATTACATATTGACCATTCCTGATAACTCATATATTTTATAATCAATATTTACGGTGGATACGGAATGATTTTATTTATTTATTTATTTTTATTTGTATTTATTTTTTGTTCGGGAGACGACTGAGCTCAGGTTTCAAGTTTAAAGGCCTTGCGTGTGGGTGTAGAGGAGGTGAAGACGCTGTTTAGGATGGATGCTCACGTGGTGTGGCTTCCAAACAGTGTATGGGTAAACGTGAAAAAAAAGGGGTTGGAAGTAAATTGAAAAACTAGCTAGTGTCGGAGTTTTGGTCAAACATATAAGTATTGTCAACAGCTGAGCACAGGAGCACTAATCACCTGTTAGACGAAGGTATGTGAATGTTTTTGTTGTTTCTTACCTGTTTAAGGTGTACTGGTGCTGCTCATTTACCGGAGCAACATGTGACTTTTTGAGAACGTTCTTTTCGTTGTCGTTGATGCAAAGTTGTCGCGTATAAAACGTAAAAGATTATTTCTTTCTTTTAAAAATAAAGGTTAATCAGCTCAGTATGCCAACTAAACTTTATTATACCGATTAATAAATCGATTGTCAAATTTAACTAAAAACCTGTCGAGGTAATTTAAAAACATATAGTAGAGCTGGGTAAAAAAAAAAAATGATTTAAAAAATATTATTATTATTATTATAGGCCACAATAATTTATACTTTTTTAACTCTGTCATGTGTGTTTGTACCCTAAAAGTCTTGTTGAAAAACACATCACTCACCTTTTAGAAGTTTGAATAGTCAGACACCAATCAACGATCATTATGCTCAGCTTGAACTTTAGGTATGTTATGGTGTATGGGTGTTATTTGCATTGTGTGTCATGTCTTATTTATTTTGTGGGATGATGAGGGACAGTCAATTCAGAGAGTACTGTGGCAAAGTATGCACTGTTGTGTTTCTACAAGCAGTTATCTTCTGTGGCCTATATGTACCACAAGCCAAGAGAGAACTCGTCACCATAGATCACCATAGATATTAAATAAAATGCTGTAATCACTGTATTGTGCTAACACATCACTATACAATCAACACTTAGTAGCTTTACTGTTTCAATAGTGGAGATTGAATGTGAATTGTCTGAGTACACCCATGCTTTTCACAACTCCTCCTTCTAGCTTTCTGACCACAGAACCTCAGTCTTGGTTCATATCAGGTAGTGACCTGCTGTGACTTGTCCTTATATTTGAAGCTCCAGCTCAGAGGTGAGGTTGCTGATGTTGGCATGCAGCTACTCAGTACATTTCCATTAAAGGACATAGCAAATATGATTAATTTTCTCATGTTTGAGTTATTGGCCTAATGATAATAAATAACATAAAACAAAATAATGTAAAAACAAACAAAAAAAATCATTCAGTTATTATATGTTTTTATTTACAGTTACATATAAATAATCTTAACCTGTGGTTCACTTTTAATGCAGTGAAACTCAATTTTGTTTGTACATTAAGCTGCATATCATTCAAATCCATTGAGAAACTTAAGGGTCAGAAGTCATTTGGTTTATTCCTTTGTTGGCACATAAATTATGTGCACTACACTATAGATTTTTACAAAAGTGCTCTCATGTGCACAAATCCTACATTTATAAGAATTTATATCTTCTGCAACACCAAAATTCATGGAAAAGGTAAAAAGTAGATTGAATGGGTACCACTCACTATGGATTTTTTTTTTACTTGTATGCTGTCCTCAAATAAATAAATAAATAGGGTGATGCACTTAAGTAAAAGAATGACAAGTAGCCTTAATTAAGTAAATTACCTTAAGTAAAAAATATACATTTTTGAAAAACTGTTAATAATAAAATTGGAAGAATATAATGCAGGAAGAATAAATATATATATCTCTCTCTTTATAACAGAGAGCTACTGTACAAACCCCACTGTGTATGAAGCTCAAGTCTTAAAAGCATCAGATAAGTTGAAAATGGCAAGGTTAGTTTAGGTTGTAAAATGCCATTTTGCTCTGGTTACGCCATATGAAACTTTAAAACCTTTGAATTGTTAAATCTTTTCTTGAAAATGATTTAAAAGTTTTTATGAATACAGGTGCTTTTCTAACTTGACATGTTTTAAACTAGAGTTTTTTTGTTTTTGCTTTGTCAAGAGTAGAAGTTTTGTATCAGATGTTTTTACTTTTCTGTCGTATTGGGCACTTATACTGTATGTCATTAACCCTTAGGCTGAACATGATTTCCATTAAGAGGTTAACTGCCACTGTATGCTGATAAACAAGCTATAGCTCTGTAATGGAGGTTTGTGTGTGTATCAAGTGTGTGTCTGTGTGTATTGAACACTGACACCTGCTGGAGCTCCAATGTTCATCATCAGAACAGAATGAAGCACTTACAATGTCAAATAATAATATAAGGTGTTACAGCATTAAAGGGGTCATATGATGCAATTTCAAGTTTTCCTTTCTCTTTGGAGTGTTACAAGCTGTTTGTGCATAGATAAGATCCCTAAAGTTGCAAAGTCTAAATTCTCAAACCCAAAGAGATATTCTATTTAAAAGTTAAGACTCGTCCACGCCCTCCTAAAACGCCTCGTTTAAACACGCCCCCACATGTCTACGTCACTGTGTGGGAAGATTTGCATAACACCGCCCAAATGTTCACGCAATGAAAGAAGGCATAACTTTGATTCTTGCTGTAGTATTGTTGCCGCCGCCGCCATGTCGTGGAGACGCTGTGTTTCGTTGCGAAAGCGAAACTACTTTGTTTGGCCTTCCAAAAGAGAACACAACTAGAAATCAGTGGTTAAGTTGTATTTACAACACTGTTCCAGAACAGTTCGACCCAAATATTCAGATGTGTGCAGCGCATTTTATGGACGACTGTTTCCTGATCCTGGGAGAGTAGCCTACAATGCCGGTTGTGCTCAAAGGTTGTTTCTATAAAGTGGGGCAATACCAACTTTGCAAGGACAGTCTGGTGCTTCTGACTCACAGCCTGTAAGTACGTTTTCATATTTAAAGAATTTGCCACTGATGATTAAAATGCGAGTTTTGAGCAGTGTAGAGTAGCGCTTGTTGTTTGTTGTTTCTCCGATCACAAATGCAGACATGGTTTTATGTTTACGCGGCGCGAAACGCAACGCGTAAAAAGACAGTATAAGTCATTAAAATCTGTAATGATGTCCCCTGGATGCAACAAATGCCTCATTTGTAATGGGTTTTGTCTCGCCGCGCTGGTACACGGCATCATATGGTAAGGGGCGTAACATTTCCGTCACACGCTTGAGGTTTTCAGCCAATCACAACACACTGGATAGCTGGCCAATCAGCGTATATCTCGCTTTTCAGAATGATGAGCTTTGTAAAAATCGACGCGTTTCAGAAAGGCAGGGCATAGAGGAGCAACAATAATGTACAGTATGTGGAAAATAATGTGTTTTTGAACCTTAAACCGCATAAACACATTGCATTACACCAAATACACAAAAAACAAATATTTTTAGCAACGTCAATTAGCAACCAAATGCGTTGGTTATTGTGTTAATTCTCAAAGGGAGAACATTTGAACCCTTTTAATTGTAAAGTTGTGCGTTCCACATTCAATGCCTCTACAATCCCATTATCTGTTTTTTTTTTTCTTCTGCAGATCAGGTCTCTTGTGTTGGTGGCAACATGAGTTGGAGCTTCTTGACACGCTTGCTTGATGAGATCTCCAACCATTCCACGTTTGTGGGAAAGATCTGGCTCACACTCCTCATTATCTTCCGAATTGTTCTGACAGTGGTAGGCGGTGAGACAATCTATCAAGATGAACAGAGCAAGTTTGTATGCAATACTGCACAACCCGGTTGTGAAAATGTGTGCTATGATGCTTTTGCACCTCTATCACATGTCCGATTCTGGGTTTTTCAAATCATTATGATCACCACGCCGTCTATTATGTACCTGGGCTTTGCCATGCACAAAATCGCTCGAATGGCTGATGACGAATACCGACCACGCAAGCGCAAACTGCTGTCTATGGTTCATCGAGGTGTGAGCCGTGACTATGACGAGGCTTACGAAATGGATGATGAAGTTCCCATGATCTTGGAGGAGATTAAGCCCTCTGAAAAGGATAGTAAAGCGGTAGCTGCAGCCAAGTCTGCCCCTGCATCCGATGCTAAGTCTGCGAAGCATGATGGTCGTCGTCGCATCAAGAGAGATGGTCTCATGAAGGTATATGTGCTACAGTTGATCTCTCGCGTTGCCTTTGAGATAGCCTTCCTTTTTGGCCAGTATGTTTTGTATGGTTTTGAAGTTGTGCCATCCTACATTTGCACCCGAAGCCCATGCCCACACACTGTGGACTGCTTTGTCTCGCGTCCCACTGAAAAGACCATCTTCCTGGTCATCATGTATGTTGTCAGTATACTCTGCCTGGCGCTGACTGTGCTGGAAATCCTTCATCTGGGAATCGGTGGTGTGAGGGACACTCTTCGTAGTCGATCAGCTCGGAAGCTCCCCATACACAGGTCATCCACATCCACTATCTGTCACCGCCTTGCCAGTGCACCCCCGGGATATCAGGCTGTCCTGAAAAAGGACTCCACTGGCAAGCTTAAGGCTGAGTTCTTGGGAGACTCAGGACGGGAGTCATTGGGTGATGCCAACACCGGTCTACAGAGACCCCTGAAAATGCGACATCTGGACCAGGCCTACCACCATGAGGATGTTGGGGCTTCACGCAGCAGTGGTCCAGACTCTAACAGCATTGCTGTTGAGCAAAACCGACTCAACCTAGCTCAGGAGGGCTATGTCAGCTCCAAGGAAAAAGGTTTGTTTTGAGCTACACTTCTTTCACATCACGTTTGTATAAGTACGATTTGAAATTAACACCCACCAAACGCAGGTGGAAATCAACCATTGCGGGTAACGCTATTAACTCATTAAGGAAAAGTGTGGTCACATTTACCATTGCTCTGCAAATGTTTGTAGGTGAAATCCAGTCATTTCAATTGGAATTTTGCGCCAGGGCAAAAAAGTTCCCTATGTAGATTTCACTCGTTAGATTTACGAAAATTGCAAAAAAAAAAAAAGCTGCTTCATTTGAAATTGACAGTGGATCTTTTTTTCCCATGATAATATTTGCTGAAATATCGCTAATGTGTCCACACATTTAGCCTATCACTTTGCATATCACCATTATCAGAGCCTCCGGACTTAGCAAAACAATGCATTATGGTACACTCGGGAAGAGATTAGAGACCACTTTTTCAGCGTGTTCTTTTACTCACTAGGCATCCAATAAATGCTGCATATCCAATAATTTTGTGTGTCCTTATGCAGACACAAAAAGCACCCTCTGGCATCTTTATTGCAACACTGCCGGTAAACTCATAGCTTTCAGTAAGGAACATTTGCCGTAAATATACTGATGCAAAGTTCATATGAATTTTATCATCATATATATTGTGGCATGATTTCATCATTATCGGATGACTTGGGAGTGAGAATGACTTAATAGTGGGTAACCTTACAAAGTCTTGCTAGTTTTCAGCATGTTTGCCATTAAAATTTCAACTAAATAAACTTTACAACTAAATACATTTAGTTTTATAAGAGAAGTCACAGAAAAGGTTAAGGCTGGTAGGATTCAGTATAATAAATAGTAATAGTAATAATAAATCTATTTAAATCTATGCTTTGATAAACAGGTTTATTTCTGATATTTTTGTTATGGATAGAAGTTTAAAAATTCAGTAGCCAAATTGGCTGGTGAATAAGTTATATTCAAACTCTGTTCATAAGATATAAATCATTAATTCCAGTCAGATCTGAAGTGCATCTCGTCGTACAGTAAATTGCCATGTTTTAATGTGATTTTTGTGCACTTTTTGATATTTGATGATTGATGATATGTGATATTTAATAATATATATTTTCCTTTTCTGTTTTTAAAGAGGGTCATGCTTGAAGAGACTAACAGCTTTCCAACTCCAGGCTGAGATGTACATTTTGGTGGGCAGTTTTTGACAAGATTTCCTGTTCATCTTGCATTGAATACACCAACTCAAGGCTGAGATACAAATAATGGAGAGCAGTTATTGACATTATTTTGTGTGCTCCTCTAAATGCATATCAGAAGAAGTATTACTTACAGTATTAAAACCATAGCTGCCAAATGTAAAGACTAGAGAAACACCAGCTCTTATAATCCACATTACTGTTCCTTTCTTTACCAAGCAATTATATTTGTTGATAGTGTATTGTAACAACAGCATGAGAACAAAGACACATTCCCTGTGTTGGTGAAGATATTTATAAATACTGTTCATTATTATCAGTTTTAGCAAATCAGTATTAATTGAAGCCTTTAGCCAAAATTCACAGATCATCCTGTTCAGATTATTACAATGAAATGAAAGATGTATGTGTCTTTGTCTGAAAAACAGAAGTGTTTGTGTTTTATGTTATGTTGCTTTTTGATTGGAGTACAGTCCTGTGTGGTCTAATATTTTTGGAACATTGTCTTGTATGAAAATATCGTAGGTTGAGGGAAGACATTTTTCGAACAGTAGCAAGGGCACAATAAATGTTGTCTGTTTGTCTTGTTGATATGCATTTAGAGGATTTTGTATTTAGAAATTTTGAATAAAACTATTGCAATACACGTGCATCTGACCAGATTTAAAAATATATATATATATAAAAACCTGGAAAATTCTTGAATTGTTTATTAAAAGGTGTCATGCTTTGTATTACTGTTAAAAAATAATCTATGCAACATGCTATTGCATTACTTCGTATGTAACATATCTGTGGTTTACATGGGATTTATGGGAAACTGGAATTCAGATTTGGCAATGACGTTATATAGATGCACATTATTTGTGTCTTTGGTCATGTGTATGTTATTGGTGACCCGAGTAATATTTAACAAAGTTTTACATCTTAGCAAAGGAATAGTACTTTGACAGATATGTTTGAAATGTAGACTCATATGAGATGAAGACCGTTATTGTTTGACAAATGATTTTTTATAACCTCATTTGCTAAATGAATAAATGTATTTAAATGACTCCAGTTGTGCCAGTGGCCTAGAAATACCTGTTAATACCTGCATTTAATGGATCCCGTCTTACAGTTGCTGCCATGTTGATATTAGACGTAAAAATCCATGGTTGTATCAGTGGTCTACAACATTGTTTGGTGCCTCTTTAAAAAATAAATGTGTCCTTTGTTTCTTACCCTCAGCATTTGACTCTATAATAAGAATGGTACAGTCTTATAAAGGGTGTGATAGTACAACTGCTAAAAATCTGACCTGGTAAGCCAAAAGTCCTGTGTTTAAATGAGATATTCCATTTCACTATGCCCCTGCAAACCCAACATGCTTTTTGGGGCTAATAATTTAGTTTGTAAAATAATCAACAGCATTTAACACATTATGCTTTAATGTATTCTTCTGAACATTATTTTGAGATTCATTATTAATCAGTAACATATTTGAATGATGCCCTAGATTAAAAACAAAAAGTGTTTAACCCTCTGGGCCTCTTCGGTCATTTTTGACCGAAAAAATGTATATTCCGAAATTTTTAAAATCGTGGCTTCATCGGAATGAGATGACACTTGGTGACTTTTGTCACATTAGCTATGTGAACACACAAAAAAATCATGGACATGATTCGGATATGTTAAAGAGTCAAAAAAAAAAGTCACACTTGGCTCCTTCGCGGTCAAAAATGACCGACAAAGGAAATGGGAAATACGAAAAAAAATACAAAAACTCAGATAATCTTTTGGTGGTACAAACTACAAATCAGCTACTGTGCAGAACAAAAGTGCACAGCAATCAAGGGGTAACTCTCTAAAATATCAAGAGTGCAAAATAGACACCCACGCACACACACACACACTCACTGAAATGAACTGGTAAGACTGCAACAGAGCAAATTTTTTAGAATACTTGACAAAAAGTAGTCTTTTAGAATGTCTAAATATATATCTAAAAGTAAAACCTAATGAAATGAAGAAATTATGTCTAAAAAATAATGGAAATCCAAAGGCCTCTGTATATATGTACTGTATATAGGGAACTATACAGGAGTTTACATGACATTAAACAAGTTTTTTTTGTGTGTGTGTGTCATCTGGTGGCATAAAAAAAAAAAAAACTTGTGTAATGTCATGTAAACTCCTGTATAGTTCCCTATGTGTCACAAGTCACATATTCTAAAAAATTTGCTCTGTTGCATTCTTACCAGTTCATTTATGTGTGTGTGTGTGTGTGTGTGTGTGTGTGTGTGTGTGTGTGTGTGTGTGTGTGTGTGTGTGAATTCTCACTTCAAAAATGTTTTAACGTGAAATATTGCATTTATTGAAAAATAATAAATAAATAATTAAATAAATAAAAATATATTAATTCTAATGGAAAAAATAGCTAATTAAAATTGTATAAATATTGCATAGTATCATAAAATCCCCTCAAAATTCTAAATAATAATGTAAAAAATAACAAAAAATATTATTAAACAAAAATGTATTACACTGATTTTTCTGAACAAAAAAGTTACATTTCAAGGCTTCGGTCACTTTTGACAACGAAAGAGCCAAGTGTGACCCCTAAACGAAGAGGCCCAGAGGGTTAAATAGTGTTTTGATGTAGGAAAGATTATATATACTTTTTTTTTCTGCAGTATCTCATTTAGCTACCCGGGTGAACAATTGTTATTAGAGTAAAAGTGGATAAATATTATATATTAATGATACATCTATTTTTCAAACATTTGTTCTTTATTGTCATAGATATCTGGGTAATGTGCAATTTAAGTATTTTAAAATTATTTTTTAAGAGCTTAGTGTACAAAGTTAAGATGCTTTTCTCTTTCTGTTTAATTTAGTACAAATTGTCTTATTTACATAAAGAAATAAACTGCAAAAAGTTCTCATTTGATGTTGTATATGTTTGATAAAAATTATTGAGCAAGGTTTTACAGAAAACTGGTGTTTGTGTATCAACAAAATTGTAATGTTACTGAAGTTAAGCATTTGAGGGCTCAGGTGGGCTACAGTATATCAGCTCCAAGGAAAAAGGTTTGTTTTGGGCTACACTTCTTTCACATCACGTTTGTATAAGTACGATTTGAAATTAACAAATTTGAAAGACAAACCTAATAAAATGAAGAAATTATATCTAAAAAACAATGGGAATCCAAAGGCCTCTGTATATATGTATATAGGGAACTATACAGGAGTTTACATGACATTACGCAAGTTCTTCTTTTTTTATGCCAGCAGATGGCACAATTCTCACTTCAAAAATGTTTTCACTCTGTTTTAACATGAAATATTGCATTTATTGAAAAATAATTAAATAAATAAAAATATATTAATCCTAATGGGAAAAATTACTAATTAAAATTGTATAAATATTGCATAGTATCATAAAATCCCCTCAAAAGTCTAAATAATAATACAAAAATTGTATTAAACAAAAATGTATTACACTGATTTTCCTGAAAAAAAAAAGTTACATTTTAAGGCTTTGGTCACTTTTAACCACGAAAGAGCCAAGTGTGACCCCTAAACGAAGAGGCCCAGGGGGTTAAATAGTGTTTTGATGTAGGGAAGATTATATATATACTTTTTTTCTCTGCAGTATGTCATTTAGCTACCCGGGTGAACAATTGTTATTAGAGTAAAAGTGGATAAATATTATATAATAATGATACAAGTCAAGTCAAGTCAAGTCTGCTTTATTGTCAATTCTTCCACATGTACAGCACATACACACAGAGAATTGAAATTGCATTACTCTCAGACCCTTGGTGCATACAGATAACACTAACAGTAGAACATAAATACAGATAGATACAGATTAAATATAAAATACAACTATACAAATATACAAATAAGGTAAAATGTAAAAAAAATATATAAAGCAGCACAAGGCACATGGCAGATAGAGTGCAAACCAGTGAAGTAACAACAGTGCAGATATAATGATTTGTAGTGCAAAAGAGCTTATTTAGACTATTAAAAACTGATTAAAGTGACAGTGTGTGTGTGTATTTGGGAGGGGGGAGTGAGAGAGTCTGTCAGAGGGTCAGAGTTCAGTGGTGCGTGGGGCAAAAGAGGGGAGGGGGGGCAAGGTCGGGAGGGAGTTCAGCTTCCTGACAGCCTGATGGATGAAGCTGTCCTTCAGTCTGCTGGTCCTGGCCTGGAGACTCCGCAGTCTCCTCCCTGATGGCAGCAGACTGAAGAAGCTGTGT